AAAGTACTTTCACAGTATGATTTGATGCATATTTAGGAATCCGTATGATAGCTGCTTGGATTTTGGTCATTATTTCATTTTGTTGTCTTCTGTTTAAGCGTTGCTCTCAAATAGTCTCACTGTCCATGTTTTGAAATTTTAAGCTTGCCAGAGGCTGTGTGGCTGGTACTTGTACTCTGGTCCACTCACTTTTCTTCTTTTTCTGAAGAACAATGAACAATTGATGTAGGAGTTTTGATGCTATTCCATGCTTTTCTGTGATGATGCTTTGGACCATATTCTTATCAAACTTCACACCCAGAAGAAGTTCCATTGGCTCCAAGTAGGAAAGATTGTTAAGTCTGGCTATTGAAATCCTGCAGTCTGAAAATTCTAAATAATCTCCCTGAAGTTCAAATTTGTGCAGAACTTCTCCAATCAGACAGCCACTGGGAAATGCCTTTGCAAATGACTTGGGATCTGCTAATCACAGCGAATGCTGTCTTCAATTCTTCTGGCACCAGATCTTCATGGGATGGTGGGGGAGGGGAGGCAGAAGTCTTTTAGATCTTGCTAAATTGCTCAGGCTGGCCTCAAACTTGCTATCCTCCTGTCTCTCAGAATTCTGGCATAACAGGCATGTGCCACCACACTCAGCTGAGACTCCTTTTAAAGAAAACAATCTACACATCTTCTGTTTGTGGAAACTGGACCCATTGTTAGTCCTTTCCAGCTTTTCATAAGAAGTCATCATTGCAAGAAGCTAGCAAAGCTCAGAAAGTGGTTCAGCCCTGCTGATCTCAAGCAAGCCTATAAGATTGCTAGGCAATTTCCACAGTCTGACTGCTGGGAAAATATCCAATGGCAACAGGAGCATCTACAAATCCAGAGAGAGGCAAGCAATGGTACAGAGACTGGTGAGGAAGATGGAGGGGGCTGCAGATTGCAAGGCTGGGGGAGTCTGTTGCTGGGGATGAGCAGGAGCAAGCCAAAGACAGGCTGGGGTAGAGGGCAGCTCTGCCTGTTCAGCAGGTGAGTAGGGCCAGCATCTGCAAGGGTGCAGTAGAGACAGATCAGCCCTGGTTCAACCGAACGTAAAACATTCAGGGAAAGGTCTTCCCGGTGACTTCAAAAAGTTCTGCCTGTGTCGTGGTACATGCTATAATCCCAGCACTGTGGGAGGCTGAGGGAGGAGATTGCAAGTTAGAGCCCAGCTTGAGTAGTATAGTGATTTAGTGAGACCCTGTCTCAAAAAAAAAAGAAGGCTGAGGACACCAGGAATATAGCTCAGTGGCATAGCATCTGCCTGGTGAGCACAAGTTCCTGAGTTTGATTCCTGGTACCAAAAAAAATAAAATGAAAAAAAAAAAAAAAAAAAGGGCTGGGCATGCGGGTGAGTGCCTATAACCTGAGGATCTTTGCAAGTTCAAGGCCAGCCTGAACTATACACAAGACCCTGTCTCAACAAACAAACAATCAAACAAATAAAAATAAATACATTTTAAGAATGAAGGGAGCAGGCTGGGAATGTAGCTCAGCATAAAGACCTAGTTTAGGGGCCAGGGATTTAGCTCAGTGGTGCTGCTGCCTGCCTTGCAAGCACAAGGACCCAAGTTTGATCCTGGCACAAAAAATAAAAAAGACCTACGTTTAACCCCAAGTATAATAATAATAGTAATGGCTCTTAATCTTTTTAGTAACCCAGACCCTTTGCCAATCTAGTGAATGCCAATCATATATGTCTTCTCAGAAAGTTTGTTTTTGTTTTGCTTTGTTTTTTCAGTACTGGAGATTGAACCCAGTACCTTACACATGGTAGGCAAGTGCTCTACCCTTGAGCTACATCTCCAGGAGAGAGCTGTTTATAAGCCCATAAAACTATGTTGGAATACAAAGGCAACAAATTATACTACAATACAACTATTAAAATGTTTTTAAAATTTGCATTACAACTGTGTAATTTATTCATTTTTAGTTTTTTGAGACAGGATCTCACTATATAGTTCAATCTGGTCTTGAACTTACTATGTAGCCCAGAATGGCCTCATCCTCCTGCCTCAGCCTCCCAAATACTGGGATGACCAGCATGCACCACCATGCCTGGCTCAATAATAGTGTAATTTATGTATTTCTTCATGAACACATAACATCACAAGATATAACAGTAAGTCTAGTAATTACCATAATTTTGAAGAAGTGATAAGCGTCTTCGTCTGTTTTCTGTGACTGTAGCCAAAATCTTGAGACTGGGTAAATTTTTTTTTTTTTTTTTTGGTGATGGAGGTACTGGTGTTTCACCTCAGGGCTTTTGCACTGAGCTACATCTCCAGCCCTTCTTTTAATTTTTAATTTTGAGACAGGGTCTCGCTATGTCACTAAGTTACCAATGCTGGGCTCAAACTTTTGATCCTTCTATCTCAGTCCGTGAGTGCTGGGATCACAGGTGTGCACCACCACACCTGGCTGAGACTGGGTAATTTATAAAGAAGAGAAGTTTATTTGGTTCCAGGTTCTAGAAGCTGGGAAATCTGGTGAGGGTTTTCTCTCTATGCCATAACATGGTGGAGGGCCAGACAGAGCAAACCTGCCAGAGAAGTGACTTTTATAATAGAACCACTCTTATGACAATCTGCTAGCCAGTGAAGATTTCATCCTCTCACAAGGGCTTTGCCTTGCCTTCCAAAGGTCCCACCTCTTAATAGTGCTGTATCAGGAACCAAGTTTCCACCACATGAGCTTTGGGGTCACGTTCATTTTATAAGCCTAGAGCAGCAATAGTACTGTAATATAAAAATATCTGATTTTTTTTTTTTTGGTACCAGGGATCAAACTCAGGACCTTGCTGTGAGGTAGGCAGTGATACCACTGAGCTAAATCCCTAGCCTAATAATATCTGAGTTTTATTGGTGACAAATTAAGATCAATACTACTATTGTTTATTGCTTATCTTTTTAAAGGAAGTACTTTCAATTAGAATTATGAAAATCAGAGTGTAATCTTTTTCTTCAAATAACCACTAGACAGGTCTGATTGTGCATGCCTGAAAACTCAGCACCCTGGGAGGCTGAGGCAAGAGGATCACTCGCCAGATGTAGTGGTGCATGCCTGTAATCCTAGCATTTGGGAAGTTGAGGAAAGAGGATTGCTGTGAATTCAAGGCCAGTTTGAAGTACATAGTAACAACAACAACAAAAAGAGGATCACAAGATTAAACTCTTCCTGGGCAATTTAACGATTTAATTTAGACGTACCTTGTCTCAAAAAAAAATCTTTTTTTTTGGTACCGGAGATCGAACTCAGGTCTTTGTGTTTGTGAGACAGGCGGCAGAATCACTGAGCTAAATCCCCGGCCCACCTTGTCTCAAAATTTAAAAAAAAAATTTTTTAAAGCAGGGGTGGGAAAGCACTGGGGATGTAGTTCAGTGCAAGGCCTTGTGTTCAGTCTCTAGAGACAAAACAAACAAAAACCTCTGGTATTCTATCCCCCAACCCTTAGGGATGTGTGGGATACGAGTAGGTGACTAGAAACCCTTCCTAGCAGCAGGGTACAGAATGAATTGGAGAACTAGGCTGAAGTCCTCAGTTGATGAAGACATCATTTCCTGGGGATCTGGATCTAAGAGGGAACTCAGTAGAGCCAGCAGAGAAGTGCTGCTGCCTCCTACCATCCCCAAACCTTGCAGAGGCAGCTGTCTTGTGCTGGGCTCTACAGTATTGTGCTGCTGGGTCACTTGATGGGGGAAAGAATCTGTCAACCAGCCCCAAAAGAGAATGATGAAGCACCGGGTAGGACGGTAGTTAAGGGACCAAGAGTCTAATGGATTTGAGTTCCAGTCTCCTTTCTGCAATTTAGAAATTGTACAACCATGGGCAAGTTAATCTTTCAGGGTCTTCATATGCAAAATAATACCTGCTGCAATCACAGGACCATGGTGAGTTAAAGTGATGTAACTCATGGAACACATGTGGTGCCTATAGATAAGGGCTGGATAAATAAAGTAGTATATGGTGTGGACTGAATGACTCTGCCTCCTTGCAAGAGGAGAATCTACTCTTTTCCTGCATTTTATTCCTCCTGGTTCTTCCACCTCAGGTTGAATATAGGAGAGGATTAAATGCCCCTTCCCATCCTCTGGGAAGGAGGCCATGTTCCTGGTCATCTTCAGTCTCTGGTTTTGTTTTTTTTTTTTTTTTTTTTTTTTTTGAGACAGGTTCTCACTATGTAGTTCAGGCTGGCCTTAAATTCACTCAGTAGCCTGGACTAGCCTGCCTCAGCCTCCTGATTGCTGGAATGACTCTGGTTTTCTAAATAGTACAAAGGCTTACAATTCATTCAACTTTCCCTTTCCTTGGTACTGGGGATTGAGCCCAGGGATCTTCATACTGAACTGTATTCCCAGCCCTTTAATTTTTGAGACAGGGTCTTGCTAACTTTCCTAGGCTGGCCTCGAATTTAAGGTTTTCCTGTCCCAGTCTCCCGAACAGCAGGGTCAACTTCTTTCTGTTTCCTAAAGTTTTCATTTCTTGAATACCTGTAGCCCGAAAGAGAATCTGAACAATCGGTGTGGCAGTAGCTTTTGTAGTGAAACCTGGTATTTTGTAATCAGGACTCATATTAAAACCCTAGGGCAAGAAGACTCTTTATATTGGAAACTTCTCAACCGGGAACCAGACTGTTTTAAATTTGGTCAGACTGGCGCTGGAAAGTGAAACCGACTATTCAATGATTTCCAATCTCCAAATGCAATATTTCCAATCTCCAAATGCATTTATATTCATTGGTTAAAATAATGGGGCAAAATAACTTTCCTGCCGACGAGGATGGGATTCGAACCCACGCGTGCAGAGCACAATGGATTAGCAGTCCATCGCCTTAACCACTCGGCCACCTCGTCCTTCGACTGTTCTTCTTCCTGGTAGCTATAGGGAGTGACACTACAGGGATGTGACGCACTATTACGGAAATCGCCATTTTGTACGGAAGCCTACTTAAAATCACTATAGGAGATAATTGAAAGAAGATGGCCGCTCCCGTGATGTGAGGAAGTCTACAGTGAGGAGAGTTGAAGAAAATTCAAAAGAAAATGAAATCAACTTGAAGAAAACAGGCTAACAAAGAAGTTTAAAGCAAGGATTTTAGAGGCGGGTTCGGCGTGACGTAAGGGGCGGGGCCTCACGTAGCAGGGTCTTGCGCATGCGCCCCAGCTGGGCGGTTAGATTTGAATACTTCTGTGAGGCTGACTGGGTGTGGAGAGGTGACGTTTTTTTCGAGGAGTGCGCAGTCCCCAAACAATTCGAGCTGGTGGACTGCAGCAGGTAAGGAGCGGAGTCTTCCATTCTGGTCTACTGGGCAGGCCTGGGTTTTGTCTGAATCCACAGAAGGCCCTGCGGTGGGAGCTGGGGGACGCTCCTTCAGCCTGGCGGCCTCCGAAAGCGCCAGGCCCAAGGTGGCTGCCGCGGCCGCTGGGCTTCCGTCCTCTCCTCAGCTCGTGCCTTGCCGTCCCTTTCCCCGCTTGTCTCCGCCCGCCCTGGGCCCTCGGTCTCCCCACCGCTCCATCTTCTGTCAAGGCTCCCGGTCCCCGGGCGTTTGTGTTTTCGACGTGAGTTTTTCTTGTCTGTGAAGGAAGTGACAGCGGTGAGTGATGTTTAAATTCTCGTTCGGCATGGTTTATTTACAGTGTAGGGTCTGAGGGCGCTTTTTGGTTGTTTGCAAGTACATTAAAAAGTCAACATTAATGTGCCACAAAGTAATTTTTAAAAATCTTCCAGTAGTCATTATTCAGATCAGGTTAAAACCTCTTTTCTTGCTGTTTATGTAAATACTAGACTTTGGAAAGAAAACTGATTGCTGATTGGATTTTAAAGATAGGTTTATTAGGTGTTAACAGAGGAACGCTGTCGGGTGAAGAACAAAGCAGAGGCTTATTCTAGATATTAAAATTGAAGTCAGTTTCACTTTAGTGGAATTGGATCAGTCGGATTCCTCAGTTGTCTTATACTTCGGGTTCGGAGCGGATCGTTCTGAGTCTCCCCCATAGAGGTGTTTTCAGTCCAGAAAAGGAAATGGTTAATATATGCAAATAATTGAAATATATGATAGGATGAATGGTAACACAGAGAAGAGAGAGCTGGTTTGATGCTTTTGGCCACGGAGAATAAAGTAAGGCTTCGTGGAGAAGATCACATCTGAGGTGGAACGCGGAGTCAATATATTGTAGGATTTGGAAATTAAAGGTTATGTTCAAAGCAGTATAATTCTTCTTGACTAAATGAATAGCTGGAAATGTTTGCAAGATGACAAATACCTGTAAATTGAGTAAAAGTGTTTAAAATGATATATTAATTATGTATTTGATGCTAAACAAGAAACTAGAAGGTGCTAAGATAATGTTAGTAGGATAGTGGTCTCCAATAGAACTTTCTATAATGGTGATATTTTCTATCTGTATTGTCCAACAGTGTCATTTAGCCACATGTGACTGTTGAGTACCTGCGTGTGGACTATTTTGACAAAAGAATTGAATTTTAAATTTTATTTCCTTTTATTAATTTAAAGGTAAATGCTTTATTGGACAGCACAAGCCTGGAGTTTGTATCAGGGATACTGTGCAAAAATATCTGCTCTATATTGGGCCAGAGATTTAGCTTTGTGTCGCTGCACCTGTCTTGCAAGTGCAAGGTCCTGAGTTCAATCTCTGGTACCAAAAAAAAAAAAAAAAGAAGAAGAAGAAGAAAATTTGCATTATAGATATCGGTAGTGTGAATTCAGGACAAAGAAAAAGATGGTAAATATTTCAGGCTTTGAGGATATATAGTCAGTGGCATATTGTCACATATTTATTCTGTTCTGGTTTGCTTTGTTTTCTACAACTCATTAAAAATGTAAAAACTGTTCTTAGCTCAGGGATGATTTGGCCCAGTGTAGTTTGAAGACCTCTGGGTTGGTTGATTGGTTGGTTGATTGATTGATTGAGACAGGGTCTTGCTTTGTAGTTCAGGCTGGTCTTGAACTCACAGTGTAGCCCAGGCTGGCCTCAAACTCTCGGAGATCCTCCTGCCTCAGCCTCTGGGAATACAGGTGTGCACTATCACACCTGATCCTCTGGGTTATTTAGACTAGTGGTTCCCAAACTTTCTTGGCTCAGGAGGCAACATTAGGCCAAAAATAAGGCCTAACAGTTCCATTTATTAAGTAGCCCCAAATAACTTAAAGAGTATTTATGTCCTAACAATTTAGTAGCCATTTTTTTTAAAGCATTAATTAATTGAAGGAAAAGACTCTTTTTACTGTTTTTCTTTTTGGCACCAGGGATCGAACTTGGGACCTTGTGCTTGCAAGGCAGGCAGTTTAACCACTGAGCTAAATCCCTGACCCTACCTTTTTCTTAAATAATCCTCGTTAATAATTAGATATGTATTAACTCTTGGACACTGCACAGCTTTTCAAAACTTGGAATCACACTGTACAATGCCACTTCCTGAATTACTTTGATAAGAAGTGCTTGCTTTTATTCACACTGTCAATGATTTAATTCTACAATGTTATTAAGAATAATATGTGAGCCAGGTGTGGTAGCGCACACCTGTAATCCCAGCACTCAGGAGGCAGAGGCAGGAGGATCACTGTGAGTTCGAGATCAGCCTGGGCTACATAGTGAGTTCCAGGTCAGTCTCATCTACAGTGAGACCCTGTCTCAAAAAAAAAGAATAATATGTGAGCAGTAGTTCATGTACTTTTTGACAGATGTCAAGAATGGCTGTGTGTGGGGCTAGGGATTTAGCTCAGTGGTGCTGCCACTTGTCTTGCAAGCACAAGGTCCTGAGTTCAGTCCCCAGTAGCCCCCTCAAAGAAAAAAGAATGGCTGTATGTGGGGGACAGTGGCACACACTTATAATCCCATCTACTCTGGAAGTGGGAGTCAAGAGGATTGCAAATTCAGGGACAGCCTGGGAAAGTTCATGAGATCTTGTTTCAAAATGAAAACTGAGGTTATAACTTGGTGTTAGAATGCTTCTGGGTTCAAGCAGGATTGAGGGTGGGAGAGAAGAATGGCTGTGTTTCTCAAAAATTTTAAATATCCAAACATCTCTATATGTATGCTGCAGCACTCCTATATGCTAGATGCACAGTTTTGGAATCGATTAATAATTAATATGGCAGGAATTAAGAATTCAGCCATGACAGCTTTATAAATGAAGTTTAACATATTAGTCTGGGGTTTCCTATTTCTGTTGAAGATGACACTTAGTTATGTAGTAAATAAAATATTAAGAAAGTGTAAATTAATCTTTGAATTTCATCAGTTAATTACTTAAATGCTAATTGGTCTGTAGGCAGGACTAGAATGATGCAGTTGTTTCAAACAGCCTTGTTTTGGTGACCTTTTTCTAATAGCAATTTTTTTTCTCCTATGGATTTTGAATATGTTGATTGAGTTTGAAGGTATTTTCTTTTTTGGTACCGGGGATCAAACTCGGGTCCTCATGCTTGTGAGGCAGGCGCCAGAACCACTGAGCTAAGTCCCAGGCCCTTGTTTTTTTTTTTTTTTTTTTTTTT